ATTTTTGCCGAGAGGGTTCCCGCGGGCATCATCGTGCCAACAGTGTGAATTCTCTCCTCGCAGAGCACCGGCCTTCCTCCGGCCTTTCCCCCCAGCCCCCGCCTAATTTACTCAGATGATGGCCACCAACGGGACCCTTCCTTTGTCTGGCTGGGATGACAGATGGCAGAGCTTCCACCGGGACTGGCATTAATAGGACTCAGAGGAGCTCCCGAGATTGAATTGAGAGGCCATTCCTCTCTCACCTCCTGAGACTCAATACATCACATTCTGAATCCATCTTGGCACTCACCTTATAGGTAAAGGGGCAGAGGGCAGAGGAGAGGATTGCACAGCTGCATTTAGCATTTACTTGGGGTTGGGCTAAAAGCACCGGGGTGACCTCGTCACTAACCTTTTACCCCCTTTGTTACTGAAATAAAAATTCCCAGAAAAATATTTGAACACACCCTTAGATAGTGATGATATACATACTGCAGCAAACCATCTGCCAAGGGGGACCCAGAGGAGCTGAACAGATGCAACAACTCAGGTTATTTCTGACACGCATAAGGAAAACTAGCTTGGAATCAGGATTAAAAACCACTCAAAGCCTAATGCGTTGAGATGGGAATGGGAACTCATCAGTGTCAGATGGCCCTCTCCATCCACAGCAGTTCCCTGAGAGAGAGATTCTTGCCATTCTCAGCATCTTCCTTCCTGAGGACTGGGGCAGTCACAGTAGAGAACTCAGAATACTGGATAATTAATCAGAGTGCCTTTCTTTGACTGCCTAATGTTTTACTTTGTTTTAAAATTAAATAGAAACCCTGAATGGATACATGGAAAAGCTTTAGGCAAAGACAGTGAGAATTTGAATGCTTAAGACATGGCAGACAGTGTTTTAAGTGCCTCGTACATGTGAATTAATTTAATTCTCATAGCAACCGAGGGGTAAGTACCAGTATGGTCTCCATTTAACAGATGAGAAAACTGAGCCACTGAGCGGTTACTGAGCTTGACAAAGGCCATGTCAGCTGTCAATGGTGGAGCTGGAGCCTATGCCCAAACCTCTATACTTCATTGCCTCAGTGTGCACCACACACCCTTTGTAGGTCACTGAGCTGCAATGTTGATGTCAGGGTATGGCCATCCTTGACTCTTAGGAAACCCTAGCAGGCCCTGTCCAGCCTCTTCTAGTGCAGAACACACACAGTAGAGAAAGCAGCACATGGAGCTATGTGGGGGTCCCTGGGATCCCTTCCACCTCAGCTCCAGTTTCTTCTGTGGTTCCCAGGCCTTTCCCATCATGCTCTGCTGTGGGGCCTCCTCTTTTTGCCTGGGCTCTAAACTTCCAGCTCCTGGCAGGCCTCTCCCATCTCCTTTCCCACCGGCCACCCATTTCTACTGAACTTGCAGTCTCACCCTTAACTTTGTTTTAGGAGTTGCATATAAAGAGAAATTAAAGCTGAGATGACAAAACTGACCCATTCACCTTTCTGGAGTGCCCACATGTCTACTTTTGTTGCAACACCCTGGGCTCTGGCTCCAAAATCACCTGAGGCCCTGAACATTAGCCAGCTGTGGTCCTGGACTTTAATGTCACACACACTGCCTGACTGTGAACCTGTGCAGCTGGCCTGCTGGCCCATCAACCTCTCAGGCATCGGGGCCGAGAAGAAGAACCTGAGAGGCCTGGGTCTGGGACCCTGTGTCATGAAGTCAGCCTGTCCGGAGAGGCCCCAGCCATTTCCACTCATTTCTGCAATGGCAGCACTGTCACCGCTTTTCTTTGTAAATAAAGCCAGACCATTAAAAAAAAAAAAAGCCGAGATGAGAGGAATTCTGACTACAGAAAATGTTTCTGAGCAACAGTGTTTCTCAGAGTGTAGTCCCCTGGCACCCTGCATAAGCATCCCTGGTGGTGCCTGGAGAATGGCTGATTTCAGGCTCCACCACGTACATCAGGCATCCAACTCTGGGTGTGCAGCTGACAGATAAATAAATAAATAAATTATATATATATTTCAGAGAGGAAGTGAGAGGGAGAGAGAGAAACATCAATGATGAGAGAGTCATTGATTGGCTGTCTCCTGCATGCCCCCTACTGGGGATTGAGCCCACAACCTGGACATGTGCCCTGACCGGGAATTGAACTGCAGCCTCCTGGTTCATAGGTTGATGTTCAACCACTGAGCCACACTAGCTGGGCTGATTTTTTTTAAAAAACAAGCTCTCCAGGTGATTCTCATACACACTAAAGTTTGATAACTGTTGATGGATATAGAGGGTTTCACGCTTAATCATCCCAGTGATGATACCACATTTGCTTAGTAAGAAAAGCGTTGACGTCTCTCTAAGGAAGGAAGCAGCACTTGGAGAAGCTGATCAAGTCAGGGTTTGCAGTGCACTTGGACAGTCGTGGGCTACTAACTACTGAGCCTATTAAAATACAACACGGAGCCCCGTGGTTTGGAGACTTTACTTAGTTTGCCCAGAAACAATGGTTTTACAAAGTCAGATAAAGTCAAAGGCCTTTCACGGGAGATTAGGTGGCACTCCAGAGTGGCCTCAGCAACTCTTCAGCCAACTAACAGAACAAAGGCAGTAACTAACAAAAACAAGAGGGGAGAAGTTAGGACTTTCTTTTCTATCACCATTTCCTAGGAAATGTGATCAGGGGTGGATCTGGGGAAAGATATATCTTCTTAGCACAAATTAAATTTAACTTGTTTTGGGTGAATCCCTTCACTGCAAAGCCCACATGTACCCTATTTTATTTTTAACTTAAACTGCAGAACCCTCAAAAGCGCCCCACCCCCACCCCCCGTCCCCCACAGGTCCAGGCACCCAGACATTTGCATGCTTGGCCCAACTCGGGAGATGGTCTGACCTCAACGGTGCCTTCTCAATCACACCGAGAAGTTCTCAAAGATCAGCATCACCAGGGAGGCTTTGCAAAAGGCCCATTCCCTGGCTTTTGCCCAGACCCACTGGACGGGAACCATTAAAATGGGGCCCAACAATCGGTATATTTATAAAGTTCCCCAGGTGATATGCTAATCAGCATAATTTGGCAAACACTGCACAAAAGCCTTAATCACAATATATTCCTACCTCCTGGCAAACTTACTAACATGCAGACTCAATTAAGTTTTTGCAAAATAATACTTGGCCGGACAAAAGTTTACACTCAAAGGCATAGGAGCGTCTACCTCAAAGCTAAGGACTCTAAGTTTCAGGGGACCCCTGTCGCCCGGTCCCCTTACAAGGCCTCACTATCATTCTCTTTTCTCTTCATGTTTTTAAACAGAGCATCCCAAATTGTATAAGCTTTGAGGGCCACAAAACTTAAACCTGCCCCTGTCTTTAAATGACAGTATATCTGACAAAACCACGCAAAATGGTCCTGAATTCAATATTTTCAACAGCTTGATTTTTTTTTTCTAATCAATGGCTTCTCTGAATCTGCCCCTCCCCTTTTAAACCTGATAGTTTACCCTCCAGCAGTATAATTTTGACGGGGATTCTGATCTTCAGTCCAAGACAATATTCGTGCCATGATGGCCTGGGACAAGAGCTGATAGCAAGAACAGATGGTCCAGGCAAAAGCCCACCCAAAGGGATATGACGATGCCATGTGCATGATAGCTGTTCAGAAGTCCGGGAGGGGAGCATGCTGCCGAGATTAAGTGGGGACTCTGAAACCACACGATGTGACCTGAACTCAAATTGATTGATTTACCTGGTGAATTTAATAGATGAGCCTCATTCATTCTGAATAGGAAAAGCAACCTGCTGCATCTTCCCTATTCATGAGCTCATTCTCCAATTTAGAAAGGTCGCCTCATGCTCAAAGCAAAAAAACAGCCTTCAAGTTGAGAAGCAAAGGTCTTTTTGCAGTGCTCATGTGTTCACGTTTCCTGTGTTCAGGCTATTTTTACTCGGGAGCACAGACGGTAGTGTAAGCACAGATTTCCTCAGCAGTTTCTATCATAGCCGGTGTGGGATCCTCGGCCATTGTCCTTAAAACGTGCACACACGGGCGACTTGCATTTGAACAGCCTGGGAACTAATGCCATCCTTCATTTGGCCACGCAGCTGTCTGCTTCTTCTTAGAAAAGAAATAAAAGGTATAAAGCATAACCCTAGGAAGCCTTTTTTAGAAGCAAATGACTGAGATGCCACAAAAGAATATTATAACACATCATATTGGAGGTGTTTCAAACGCAGGACACATCTGAAAGTGAAATCATCTGAGGAGCCACAAGAGAATCACTGGAGACAAACATGAGCTCTGCCACAGAAGGAGGTTTGTACTCAATCAAATGAGACCTGGGCCAACTCCCTGAAGGCTGATGGTCTGATGGGAGCTACCATTGTTTTGATCTCAGCCGTAAACGAAGAACAAAGCACAAAGAGTGTTCATGTTGAGAAAATTTACTGAGCTGTAGGTTGTGAAAAGGAAGCCCACCAATGAAAACAACAAAACAAGGCGGGGTGGTACAGGGAGTACGGCTAATTGTAGACTGCCTATGGTACGGAGTTCGCTACCTCTCCACATTGAAGGTTTGTCCTCTCCCCTGACAATCCTGTGCTAGAGCACTAGGTCTGACAGCAGAAGTGGCTGCCCAACCAGGGACTGCATTCCCACCCTACCCCACCCCCGCTCCTCCCGCACCCTCCTGACTAGTTATTGCCAATAAAATGTGAGTGGAGATGACATGTTTCTGTTCCAGGCCAAGGTGGTTAAGAAACAGGGAAGCCTTCTTAACCATTTTCCCCATTCTCTTTATTCCCAACTGCCTGAAGTTGCACTTGTTAAAGCCATCAGCAGTGCAAGTCCCAGAGTGACAGCCCAGAGCCCCAGTCGATCTGGAACCACTGGGAACCACCTGGTATTGTTCGGTAAGAACAAAAGTTATATTTATGTATGCCTATACAATGTCGCCATTTGCTTTTTCATAGCAGCTAGCATTACTCTAAGTAGGAGACAAATCCTATTCAAGGTTAGAACATACCTGTTATGTGAATGCGATATTCTTCCTTAAAGATCTTCTGGAAGAAAGGAATCTGGAACTGCATGTGAGGCGTATGCAAGCCAGGGAGATTTACATCAACGTCTCCCATGAAATGTGGGAATTCCCAGTCCTATCAGAGAAAATCAACATAAAAACATATTTGTGATTTGTTTTGTACCTAAGCAGTGAAACATCCCAAAATCGACTTTTTGTAAGCACTTATAAAATCATTTCAATGCAGCCAAGCTGTTGGAAGTATCAGTTTCACTCGGTGATGGTTATTTTATGTACATTAGGTAGCGGTGTGCATTCAAAATCAACATTAAGTCATAACTTATATCCTCAGCTTTTCTCTTTAATGTGGTACTAAGAAACCAATACGGAATGGATTTGCATCTATACATGTTTATCTTTTTCTTCTGGAGAACTGATTTTAAATTTTTATAGGAAGCAAGCAATCCATACTTTATAAATATAGGGTAAATTTGTTTCACTACCTTTAAAATATATAAACCCTATAATAGCATGTTTTATGTAACAAGATGAAGTAAAAAGGATCTGATTCACTTAAGAAAATTCTTCCGTTTTCATCACGGCGAAAGACTCCTGTCCTGCTCTCTTGCAATTTAGCACTAGTTTGAACCCAACAATGGAGGGCCTGACATGCTACCGTAAGAGACAAACTGAATTAATTCCCAAACTGTCATTAGTTATTTCCTGGTTATGAAAGCAAAACCAAGTGGGATAACCCTCCCTTTCACAAATCAGGGTATTTTCAGGTGTTTCACCTGCTCTTGGTTTTTGGATGCAGGCATCAAAGTAAAGTTCATAACTAGCATGAGAAGAAAGAATGCACAAAATATAAAGAAACATTTGAGGTGAATCCATAGGCATGAGTACAGATATTTTCACTTTTAATAATGAAATAATCATTAAATTATCAGTTCTATATTTAGTGAATATTTTTAAAGAACTTGAATATTGAAAAAATAAGACACTAAATACTAATTTAAAATTTCAATCCATTATCTCAATATAAAAAATTTGGAATTTCCCAAGACTTCTATATATGCAGCTAATAGAGGTGCGTTGATAATACAGTTCCCAAACATGTTGCGGGTTTTCCTGTCCATTCCCCTCTCCTCTTTGCTGTGAATTCTGATTAAGGGAAAACAGGCCTTGGAGAAAGGAGAACATGTGAGTGGTGGTAAACAGGAAGGTTTCAATGTTTATTAATTCTTGACTTATGGATCACTTCAAGTAGCCAAGAAGGAATAAGTACACAAGAAGAAAAATAAAACGATGCAGCATCATCCCTTTCTATTGGTACGTATGCAAATATCTTGTTGGTCTCACCTCTCCTTGTTTTTCAGACATTAGCAGCAAGTAGGCATGTAATTTGCGAAATTCAGAAAACCCAAAGCATTTGAGCTAAATGAATTTGAACATTTTGATCTAAAATACTAGTAGAGCCCTAGCTGGTTTGGCTCAGTGGATAGAGCGTTGGCGTTCGGACTGAAGGGTTCCAGGTTCAATTCTGGTCAAGGGCACATGACCAGGTTGCGGACTCTATCCCAAGTAGGGGGTGTGCAGGAGGCAGCCAATCAATGATTCTCTCTCATCATTGACATTTCTATCTTTCCCTCTTCCTTCCCCTTTGAAATCAATAAAAATATATGACAAATAAATAAATAAAATATTAGTAGAAAATGGATTGGTAATAATACTTGTGAACTATTGAATTTTATTAAAGTGCATTGATACTATCTTGTTCTATGTTACTTAACAAGACTCCTGCAAGGAGAATTGAAATTGATTTGGCTTTTTGATAAATATAACTGACATCTCCCATGAAAAATTACACTTGGTAAACAAAGAGATTGATAACCAAGAGTTTCTTTCGCTAGCCCTGGAAAAAGAATACAAAGCATTACCAGGAAAACAATTTTCCTTTTTATTTCTTGGTTTAAAAAAGAGAATATTTCTCAGTAGTAATTGGGCAAGTGTACTTAGGGTACCTTCTTTTTGGAAAGACATTATTAGATTGTTCTCATTTGGCTTTTCATTCCATAAAACTAAAGTTTCTATTGGGTATGAAATTGGTCTTAGTTTGAAAGTAATCTCTAGAGCAGAGGTTCTCAACCTTCCTAATGCCGCGACCCTTTAATACAGTTCCTCATGTTGTGATGACTCCCTGTTTCATTGCTACAAATTGAACTTAATTAAAGCATAGTAATTAATCACAAAAACAATATGTAATTATATATGTGTTTTCTGATGGTCTTAGGCGACCCCTGTGAAAGGGTCGTGCAACCCCCAAAGGGGTCGCGACCCACAGGTTGAGAACCACTGCTCTAGAGATTTCTTGTAGACTGGGATCAAAACTTCATTCATCAAAAAATAGTTCCTCAATTATTTCCCACCTGTACTTGGAGATAGAAAGATGAATTAAGCAAATGGAGATTAAAGGGAAGAGAAATTCTTACTCTTTATATGGACTACTAGAGGCCCGGTGCATGGGATTTGTGCACTGGTGGGGGTGTGTGGCCTGTGGGAATTGGCCTGCTGTGGGAGCACTGCTCATCCCGGTCAGCCCAGCAGCTGTGGACCCGCCCTCTGAGAAACTGCTCCCATTGTGGAAGCACACTGACCACCCGGGGGCAGCTCCTGCATTGAGCGTCTGCCCCCGGGTGGTCAGTGCGTGTCATAGCAACTGGTTGACCAGTAGTTCTGGTCATTCTGCCATTCTGTTGCTGGGGTTTTATTATATAGGATGGTATTATTTATTTTTTTTTAAGGGCTCAAGTAAGGGCATTTGAGGGAAAGTGTGAGAGAAGTAGCTGGTGCCATTTAATTTAATAAATTTTTCAAAGGATTAATAAAAAAGAGATGATACATTCCCTTAGATTTGCCCCTTTTACATTATTTATTATAATTACCACATTTTGTTTTTCAAAACTTATTTCCTCAGTCTCTGCCTCCACTCTCTCCCTGCTACTCTAGTTTTTGTACTTCAATTTCTACTCTGCATATTTCTTCAGACTCATTATTGAATCAGTGGAAACTCTGGCCTTACTTGACAGAGTGGAATGGTAATAATAATAATTGCTACTATTTTCAGGATATCTTGGGCTCATCTTAATGGAGAATACCTGGTAATAACCCAGGTATTTCCTTGAAGGAGGGGAGTGGACAGTGTTCTAAATCTTCCTAGGTTTCAGTCTCTTCACCTATATTTGGGATTAAATATCTCCAGCTCACAGGCTTCCTGGGAGTATGAAATAATGCCTGGACAGCACATAGCACATTGCTGGGGACCAAGAGAAGGGGCAAGGAAATTCCCACAAGCACATTTGATTTCCTAGCATGATTCCAAGGTCAGGTTTATCCTGAGAGTGAAGCAGAGAACCGAAAGATCTGTTTTCAGGAGGATTATGCAGAAGGCTGCTTCAAGGTTCAGAAGAGAAAGGATGAAGGCTCTCTTTTCTTCCTGCCTTTACCCACTGCACAGCACTGGCCTCCGAGGTCTCTGACTAAGACTTTGGTCAGATCAGAGTTCTTCCAGACGGTGCTGGGAGAGGGCCATAGGGAATGGCGCCTTCCCTCAAAGAGACATGGGAGGTAGCCTTATGGTTTCTCATGCAATATGGGTCACACTGTGGCGACCTCTAGTAATAACGGTGGGAGACTAATAGTTGAGGACAGAGGCACCACTACTACGTAGCAATATGTGAAATGAAAGGCTGAGGAAATCTGGATACTTGGATATAAATTATTGATCACTAGCAATGCTATAACATCATCCTAGGCAATATATATTTATATTTATATTTATATTTATATTTATATTTATATTTATATTTATATTTATATTTATATTTATATTTATATTTTTATTTATATTTATTTATATTATTTATATTTATATCATTTATATTTATATACAAAATTATCCTGAAAGCTTGCTATGAACCCATGTCATAGATGAGAAAGTTTACCTCAGAGAGGTTAAGTTGCCACAATGTAACATAGCTGCCATATGGCAGAACCTGGCCCAAACTATACATACCTTCCGCTAGGTCATGCTGTCTTTAACTGTGAAAAGTGACTGCAGCTACTATGTTTTATTCAGAACTGAAATTATTTTTACCTGCTATATCTGGTTCTAGTTGAGAATCGCTTATGGCAGTCATGCCTGCTTGTCTTTCACCAACAGCCAGTTCCATGAGGAGCTTTAAACTATTTTCCTCCCACCCCCATTCCAAGAGGGCCCTCATTTTTATCTGACCTTACCTTGAACAAGAATAACTGTAATTCTTTCCCCACTAAACAACTGTCCCAGAAATAGTTGGCTTGTAATCCAACTGATGAGGGAAATTTGAATAACGGGTGATTGATAGCAAATACCGAGATCCTCTTGGCATTGTGACTATGGATGTACAGCCAATTTCATACACAAATTGCATGAGAGCCTTGGCTTTATCTCCTTATGCATAAATGTTAAATATGTACTTTGAACACAAGACAAAAATGTTGACTTAAGAGAATGATGAGGCAAGATGTGTTTGGCTACTAAGACCAGGGTAGATCCAGGCTGATCCTGTGATTGCATATTAAAAAAGGATTAATTTATTTTGTTCTTCAAGAAATGTTATCAGTATTTAGTAATTAAAAGCTTCATTACTGCCTTCTGATATTAAACCTAACAATAACTGCAGAGGTCTGTCACATTTGTGCTTCAGAGATGTAAAAATTATTTACCACACATGCTATTCCAGCCAGTTCTCATCAGCTCATGGTGATGAACAGACTTCCAACTTTGTATCTCGCTTCATCTATGACAGACAATCCATTGCCATTCAGATGGGCATATTTCCCATGTAAAAATAAATGAGCAGTGCCATGGTGTATATCTAATCTCATTTTTTACATACTATGGCCTATAGCAATAAAAATCACATTTGAACACTGATGTCCAAATTACATTTGGATGTGTAATTTGGACTGATTTGTCCAAATATGATTCTGTCCAAATGTGGCCCTATTATTCATGAACCACATTGGGACAGAATTTCAGGACCATGTTAACTATATAGGCAAGATGGTCTCAGGATATACCAGTACTGGATC